CCCACATGGTTTGAAGGCAATGTAGCTAATGCTTGTTATAGTTGGCAGTTATCTTTCACTTTACCTGAGCTCACTGTCTGCATTTCCACCTTTCTGCGGCTGCTGTAGGTGTGTAACATCCCTGATCACAGTGTCATTATCACTGTTGTTATTAACCTGCTGGAAAGAAACCCTGGTTGCCCAAGCTAAATTCCTATTACTTCTGTTTAAATCTTATAGTTTTCCACAAAGACCTGCTCCTTTAATAATATCATATGCTTCCATAGAGGTGATGCATTTAGGCACAGTGAAGGATGTTGGGGCATCAAGGGTTCAGTTTAGACAGTTTAGAGTACGTCCTGACTTCCTGGCTCAAACAGTAGCTGACCATTCAACCTGTTCAGCATCCTTTTTTTGTCTTAGTTTATTTTTTTGAATTGGCTAAAACTGACTTTATATCTGCAGAGTCTGTGCTGCATGAAATGCAAATGTATACCATTCTAATAGCAGATCACTGAAGCAAGAGAAAAATGAAAACAAAGTTGTGAAATTATACACTTTACCTCAGTTAAAGCCTCAATTTAAAACAAAAGCCAAGCAATTAATCGTTGTGCAAACCAACCCCAGCTGTCTGCTGGTAAGGAGGCTTAAGTTCTTCATAGCATATTTGTGATGTCAGTGGACAGAAAAGGAAAAGCAGTCGGTGTTAGTGCATTTGCTTGCGTGCGTCTGTGTGTGGTCACTAGTTTCCTGTAAAGTTCAGTCATTGAAAGTGAGGTTATAAATAAATAATGTCCTCTGCAGGGGGAGGCACCACTCACGCACAGATGAGAGGGGTAACGAAGGATTGGCTATCCAGGAGAAATGTTACGCGCCTCGCTTCCTGCAGGTCCCCCCAGACCTCACAGTGGAGGAGGGGCGCTTCTGTAGGCTTGACTTCAAGGTGGCTCTCTTAAGACTGAATACTTCATATAAACTTTACCAGAAGCCTAACAAAATTAGGTTCAATAAGCTGTTTTTCACTAGTGATGAATCATGAAAAATGTGTTAATTTCAGGTGGGAGGCCTCCCAACGCCCGATGTCTCCTGGTATCTGGACGGTAAAGCCATTCGTCCAGATGACTACCATAAGATGCTGGTGTGTGAGAAAGGGATGCACTCATTCATCATAGAGATTGTGACGGTGCATCATGCTGGTGTGTACGAGTGTGTGGCCAGGAACCGAGCCGGGGAGAGCAGATTTACCATGAGGCTCAATGTAATCGGTAAATATTAGCATACTGTGCTCTTCGTCATGGCGAATGATTTAACGATACCGCCTTTCACCATGGGAGAGGACCTAATCACATGTATCCTCGTTCGTCTCTGCAGCTCAGGAAGCGCTCCGTCCTCCTACCTTTGTCCAGAAGATGGTGAACTCCAGAGCTCTAGAGGGCGACACGATCAGGTTAGAGTGCAAAGTGGATGCTTCCCCTCCACCGCAGCTTTTCTGGAAGAAGGATAAAGACATGCTGCGCATTGACCCCAACAGAATGAGGTGCGTCAGCTTAAGTTCAGACTCCACTGTTCAGGTGATGATACCTGGCATCGACTCTGTGATTGTGACACTTTAGCCCGTATGTGTAACTTTGCAGTCTCTCTCACTGTTTCACTGCAGTCTGTACCAGGACGGGTCAGGCCGCCAGTGCTTGTTGATAGAGAGGGTGATGAAGTCAGATGCTGGCTGGTACACTCTGTCTGCCATCAACGAAGCTGGCATGTCCACATGCAACGCCAGGCTGGATGTAGGAAGTAAGTCTGTTCATTTTTATATGCAAATAAGCTCTGAGAGGCCGCCTCAGCTATCTGCTGCATGAGATACGACACGCTGCTCGTTACCATAGAAGCCCAGGCTGTAAAATCAAACACCAGATGGAAAACGCTGTGTGCCCGGTGTCTCCATGAATCCCGCTCTGTCTCTGGGAGCTCATCAAACAAATGGCGCGTTATGTGATCGAGCGGAAACTCGATGAATGCACGAGGCTCCGAGCTGCCGAGGAATATGGTATAATCGCCGAGCGATAACTGTGAGGCAAATACAACACGGCTATTAGGTTTCTGCTTTCTCACATAACACCATCTGCTCCGTGGAGAGGTCCTCCATACACAGCAAACATGAAAGTGAGTTTAAAGCACTTTGTCTGAACCAGAGCTCAGAAACGGGAACTCATCAGGAGGTTTTTAGAAGTGAAGTCTATGGCGTTACTTTTGTGCCACTATTCTGAGCGCACGTTAAAAAAAACATTGTGCATGTGTTGCATTTTGAGGAGAAATTTATTTTGAGCAAAGAAAAACTGAATTTGAGTGAACAAAATTAATTGCTGTATTTCAGTGTTTGCTATTATCCACACACACAACAGCAGCCCCTCTCGCTCAGTTTTTGCATTTGCGCTCGCTCGCAATGTGTTGCGCGTGCTCTCAACATTTCTGCCCGTGCGCGCTCAACTCTTTCTGTACACCGTTATATTTGTTCCACAAAACCCGCCAATCACAGACTTGGATGCAAAAAAAAATGTGATTGGCTGTTTTGGTCTCCAATCAGCTCGAAATGACGAAATGCAATATCCCAGAATCCATTTCGTCCAAAACTCAAACGAGGCAGTGGCAGAGGAACACAGAGTGGTGGAGTTTGAAATATTACTCTTTCTGGGTCACAAAATAAACTTTTAAGATATTTTCATGCGAGAATGGTGCTGTGTAAACTTCAAATACCTGCTCGATTTATCAAGACATCACATATTCGCAAAAGTGCTCTGACGTTCTATCGGATTGTCACAATAGAGTAATGTTTTGCCCACCGAGGTGTTAAGTCGGTCATGTGACTGAATAGTGTGGATTGCACTGGGTTAGGATGTTACTCAGTGATGACAGAGTTCAGTGTGTGAAAATGCAGTTGAAAAGCACAGCGTCTGGATAAGTCTCCTAACTCTTTCCATGTTTATTCATCTTAATTAAAATGAAAAACATTTGATGGTGCAGAGTTTAGTCCAAACGTTTTTAATCTGACACCTTAGTCAGTTGATAACATTTCAGATTTAGACCAGAAGAGTAGAGGTTATCTGATCTTAACTTTAGGCCTTTATGCTTAATCATTTTTAAATTGTTCCTGTTTGTTTTGTTTTTTTGTTTTGTTTTTTTACATCATAGCCTTTCAGTGTTGAAAATGTTTTTAAAAAGGAGGGAATAGTAATAGATACCATAGTTGTGTCTTCATACAATGCATTATTACAAGAACTTTACTAAAACAGTATTCAGTTAGGGCTCAGCAGCAGGGAAGGCTGATGGTGAACTGAAAGGAATGCTAAATGCACTTTAGCTTAACCTCCTAAGACCCGAACTCTTTCGTGGCATGCATTTTTAATTTCTCTTTGCTATTTGGGCTGATTGGGACCTCCATCCAAGCATCCATCTTCTTCCGCTTTAGCTGGGGCCGGGTCGCGGGGGCAGCAGCCTAAGCAGAGAAGCCCAGACCTCCCTCTCCCCAGCCACCTCCTCTAGATTATCCGGGGGAACACAAAGGTGTTCCCAGGCCAGCCGAGAGATATAATGTCTCCGGCGTGTCCTGGGTCCGCCCCGGGGCCGCCTCCTGGTGGGACATGCCTGGAAAACCTCAACCAGGAGGCGCCCAGGGGGCATCCTTGTCAGATACCCGAACCACCTCAACTGGCTCTTTTCAATGTGGAGGAGCAGCAGCTCTACTCTGAGCCCCTCCTGGATGGCTGAATTTCTCACCACCCTTCAGAGGAAGGACCGGTGCAGCATCCGCATCGCTGCGGCCGCTGCACCAATCTGTCTGTCGATCTCCGGCTCCCTTCACCCATCACTCGCGAACAAGACCCCGAGATACTTGAACTCCTCCACTTGGGGCAGGAACTCATCCCCGACCCGGAGTGGGCACTCCACCCTTTTGCGGCTGAGAACCATGGCCTCAGATTTGGAGGTGCTGATCCTCATTCCCGCTGCTTCACACTCGGCTGTGAACTGTTCTAGTGCGAGCTGGAGGCCTTCACCCGATGAAGCCAACAGAACCACATCATTTGCGAAAAGCAGAGATGATTGGGACCTGATTAATGTAAAAACAAAGAATTACTTTGTTTTGTTTTTACCTGATTTTTTTTCTGAGAAAAATTAGATCCACATATGACATTTGCTTTAAATTTCAATGGAACAGTGGCAGTAAAACGTCCTCGTAAGTGGATATCAGGCCCTCGTAGAGCAAAATTTTGGTCTAGACAACCCAAAATGTGACGTCCATATATGTGGACGGCAGGTCCTAGAAGGTTAATAACAACATATATCAGTGAAGTTTAGCTGAACTAATTCTGTACCAGACAAGAGTCTGCAGCCTCGTCATTGAAGAGTAGAACGTTTGCTTTGAAAATATAAAAAGGTAAATTACATTAAGTGGTGAATTTCTATGTTTACTAAAGATGTTTTTTTTTTTTTTTAATTATCAAATTTTAATGGTGACATGATTGTATGTGGATATGATGAGTTGGTGTTGTGGGTTTGTCTCATTCAGGCTTGTGGAGGTGAACACTGTGCATCCACTGTTCCTGCATATATGTGCTGGTCACATATCTGCCTCTGAGCTATGCTGTACTGTGGCATGCAGGGTAGAAGAGTTATTTTCAGACACCTGGCATGAGAGGAATTTTTTTTCCCCTGAGTGTTAGTAAGATTTGATGCTGCTCTCAGGGACAGGAAAGGTGTTGCTCTGCTTTCTTTAAAAACTTTGATTTATAATCAAAGTTTAAATAAATAATCTGAAAACCCAAAACAATATATTAACCCATCGTCTCTCCGCCCCTACCAGCCCGCACAACTCCGGCCATGAAGACTGCTCCTGCTGGCTCCAAGACTCTGAAGCTGCTGTCCTCTCTGAGCCACATCCCTGCTCTGACGGTGGAGAGCCCCGCCCAGCACACGGCGCCGTTGTACGAGAGCGAAGAGCTGTAGACCCACACGCTCCCACCCTCCACTAACCACCATGTCAGAACTGTAAAGAGAGGAGCCTCTGACTGTCGCGTCAGGGCCGAAACATGAGTGCAGACTAATAATCATCGCAGCGCGCACAACTCACAGTAGTAACACATTCACTAAGCTTCATGCAACAGCAAAGCACATCTGCCATCTTTACAACACTTGGGTAAAATGATTATGATGCAGCATTGGAGACTTTTTACTGTGGGAGAGTATAGGACTTGTTCTCGTCCATGTGCTGCTGTTTGTCACACTGTTTCTGCCCATCTGTCTGTCTGCTCTGCTTTTTCCTCTCCGTCTCTTCATGTGCCCGTCCTGGCTGCTCTCAGCAGAATGCGGCTCCTCGGTCATGGATGTATTAATAGAGCTGGGTATGTTGTGGCACAGGCTGCGCTGCTGTCAGGTTTGGTCCCAGTGGGCAGCCACATTACTGCAACATAATCTCCTCCAGTCCAGAAACCATTTTCAAAACGCACATTTCAAGCAATGATGACAGGACACCGGCCATATGTTACTACATGTACTGAATATTTAAAAGGTTCTTTAACATTTGCACATTTTAAGTTTTTTCCCATGTCTTATTGTAAAATCTGTGATTGGAGCAGGCCAAGTCAGACAAACTGGATGCTGCTGCACAGGGGAGGACAAACATCCTCTGCACAGCAGTGCATGTGTTGCAGTGCACCCTTCAGATAACCTCTTCTATGGTAGAGAGTAGAAAACAGAACCAAGTCGTCCCACAATCCCACACTGTCTCTGCACATCACACTCACTCCACTTTAATCCTGACAGCTGTCTGCTTATCACTCCTCTGTCCATCCATCCATGTTCTTAACCACTTATCCAACTTGGGGTTGCGGGGGGGGGGGGGCTGGAACCTATCCCACCTGTCACGGGAACAGACAGTTAAAAAAAAAAAAAAAAAAAAGATGGACGTAGCCACTGTGACGTCACTGATTAGTGAAGTCCCCTCTGAAGCCTCGAGCCGTTTCCGTCTTTGGTGTTTTGAAACAGGATGTGATAGGGGAGGGGCGACTCGGACTGTGAAACTGAGAACACCGCATGCTTGTGATTGACGCGTCGTTAGCCAATGAGAATATCCTGGACATTCCTCCTTTCTGGCTCTAATAATAACCGTAATTCCATTATTCAGTGTAACCCGAAACTAGTCACAGAGTCATCAGGAAAGTGTTTACAGAGGTCACACAAGAAGAAAGCCTAGGGCTATTTTCCCCCATAGCTTCTATACAATCAAGTCTTTTTGCAACCAACGTTGCCCCCTGTTGTCCATTTAACAACAATGCAGCTTCAAAGCAAAGCGTCGGCTCCACTTTTTAGACCTGCTTAAAGTTACGTCCATCTTTTCTGTGCTGTCACAGGGTGAGAGGTGGGGACGCCGTGGACAGGTTGCCAGTGAGGAGAAAGAGTTCTGTACTCGTGAATTACTGCTAAGGATCATTTTGTGTGTCCTTGCATTAATGCTGCCTGTGGTGTGTCTGTAACGCTTTTTAAATGATCAGATTCTCTGCTGTTGTATGAATTTAATCGGGTTGAAATGTTCTGATACAGTTTATGTGACTGAAGCTTTTTATCAGTGTTGAGACTTTTCATGTGTGCAGCCTTTTGCTGCTAAACACAGGCTGCCATCCTGATACCTGAACCCAAAACGTGCTCTGAACTTTAAACGTTTACACTTGGTCACATCTGCAGTGCAGATACGTTTGAACTCCAGACAGAAAATGTTTTTTCCTGTTAAGCGTACAGGCGGGTATCAGCATGTCAGCCTCAGTCTGTCCTTTGGTGACTTTATCCAAATGGATTCATCAGATATGCTTAATTTGCGTGCTTACATTGAAACTGCTTGCTATTACCAGCCTGGAGCTCACGTCACAAAAACCAAGATGGAAACGTGTGTTCTGTGGCCATGAAAATCTGGTGTTGACCCCTGTGTGGCCACGGCCTCGCAGTGACGGTTGTTTGCTGAGGTCTGGATAAACTACATTTTCTGCCTTAATGTAGTCCCAGGTGTTACAATAAGTAGTGGGACTAACTTTACACCAGTGTCCTGTACTGGTCTAATCCACTGGTTTAGCTAGTTGATCTTCAGTTGGTCACTAAGACATGCGGCTCAAATGGGGTTAAACTTTTATAAAGCACAGGACTAAGTCATAATTCAGAGATTTTAAACTGCAGTGTGTACTCTCCTGTACTGTTTGTTGTGACAAGAACTTCTAAATATCACTGGATGAATGAGGAATAAAGTCTACACGACCTTGACCTCCTGCATTTTTCTTTTTTTGATCAGCTTCAGTTCAATGTCACGATGTCGCCCTCAGGTGGCAGCAGAGGAAACGTACAGATAATGTGACACACACACACACACACACACGGGTGAGTCAGTTTATTAAAAACAAGTTGAAGACGATATCAAAATTGACAAAAAAGCTGTTTATGACTAAAAGAGGGCAAAGTGTTTCTACTGTGGCTGCCAAGACCACAGACAGAACTGTTCATCTGCAAAAGCATGATCAGATAATTTACAGGCTTCATCAGCAGTCATCCTCAGTTTTGTGCAGAACAGCAACGGGTACCAGAAGAAACTGGAGCACGGGCAGTTCTTGGATCAGCTTCTGCTCGGTGGCCTTGCATACAGAGGCTGCCAGATCAGTGAGAGTTGAAATAGTGCCCTGCTCTGTGCTAGTGCTGGACTTCTCAGAGCTGTAAGGCACATGAATAATGAGTATATTTGAGATTGTGTCTTTGAAAACTTCAGCAACCATCTGAGCAGGCCTGTGTGTGACTAATGCCACCGAGCAGGCACTCCCACGTTTGTTTCTTGTTATGCCTTTTCCTTCCCACCTGGTGCTAACTTGGTGTTGCAGTTTGTTCGCCTAATGCGCTCTGCCCTCCAACCAGCTGCTCACAACTCCTGTGGACTGACTGGTGAATCTAAATCGTAGGCTGTGTGCAGCAGAAGTCTTTCAGAAGCCAAACATTTCGTTAAGATAACATGAAGATCATGAGCAGAAAAAAAATGAAACAAAACATCTGGAGCACAAACGAGAAAAAGAGCAGCACGTCTGATATATGTCACGTTTCTGTGTGTATACAAAGACCAGAACGCATCAGGAGTCTGTTCTCAGTCTTTGAGTCCTTCAAGAAATGCTTTCTTTGTTGCACCACAGGGGATTTGAAAATACCGTCAAATTTCTACGTCGCTCTCTTTGTCGTTGTCGTGGTCACCATCGTAGAACTCGTTTGCTGCCTCCGGCCTGTGGGAGTCACGTCATGAACAGTGAGGATCGTGCACACCAATCTTTTATAAATACACGCGTGTTGCTGACTCGTGCTGACCTGGTGTAGTTCTCCTCAGCTCCCCTCTCATCGGGGTCGGGCTCGTCGTTGCGCTCGTAGCTCAGCATGTCGGACGGGACGTCGTGGATCTGAACGCTGGGCGCGTGGTTCAGCATTTTCAAGTTCTCAAACACCGTCTGACGGATTTGCTCCAAATACTGCAAACACGTGAACACAGCGAGAGGGTCGGCCGACTGCATGTCAGGATCTCTACTGTGCACTTTACACCAATGAAAAGAGGAATGATGCTTTTACCTGTCGGGAGTTCTGGTTTTCTATCCTGGTGCTGACATCAGGGTGCAACGTGAAGTCTGGAGCAAAGTACTCAAAATACTCTGCAGACGAACCAAATCAGACAAACAGGATGTTCCAAGTATTTCTGTTCACTTTCCTTCTTGTTTCACCCGCAGTCCTCTGTAATGTCACGTGTAGCGACTCTAAGAGTAACTACTAACTGGCTTTTAATTTGTTGTTTATGCATAAATCATTTTTCAGGCTCATTGTGACATCCTGGACAACAAGAACGCACAAAAACAATCCAACAAAGATATTAAAATCTCACTGAAACATGAAACATAGCTCACCGCTGTAAGGCAGCTCATCACTGATGGATTCATCCAACAACAGAGACGTCTCATAGGTCCTACAACACAGCACAGATTATTATCATCATCATCATCTTAAAGCTGCATTCATGGAAAGTGCACATCAGACTGACCAACAGCGAGCCACGTTCCTCACTGTGTATCCTCCTCCCCCCAGAACCAGCAGAGGGATCTTAAAGCTCTTCACAAACTCCACACACTCACTGAAAACCACACACACAGATTATGTTGCAACTATCAGTACTCATGTGCTGGCTGTTTAAAAATATTTGAGTTCAGCTGGAAAAAACTTTGTCTCACCCGTGTCCTCGGATACTGAGGTTGAAGCAGCCCAGCCTGTCACAGCCCAGCGAGTCCGCTCCACACTGCAGACAGACACACACCAGGTGAGGCAATCGCACACACGCAGATTAAATCATACAGAAGCAAATGATAGGAGCTACTGACTGACCTGCAGGACGATGCAGGTCGGCTGGTAATAATCCACCACCTGTCTAATAACAGGCTGGAACAGCTGCCTGTAGCCTGAAAACAAAACATGCAAACACGTTGGTCGAATCTCATGTGATAGTCACAGAACAATAAGAAAGTGTGACCTCATGTGTTGTTGCTCTCACTCTGGTCATCGATGCCGTCTCTGAGAGGAACATTGAGGCAGTAGTACCGGCCGCTCTCTGCCCCGACCTCGTACATGTCACCTACAGGAAGCAGAGCGAAGAACAGATGACGAACTTCTGTTGTTGCTGGACTTTTAATTCCATTCAATGTTTCCACAGTCAGAAAAACAAACACTACTTTAGAGTCTTATTTAAAAAGAAAATAAATAACACTGCTAAACAGCTGACTCAGTGACAAAGGGCAGCCCAGACAGAGTCCAAGACAAACTTAATAGGGACCAAACGGCTCATAACAACAGGGTCAGATACACCCTGAGTCTACGGATAGAAACCCGCCTGGAATACACTTATCATTTATCTGCTGATACAGCTGACAGAGGACTACTTCAGTATTTCTATGTCTTTAAATTGGACTTTTGGGGCTGAATATGCACGCAAGTAAAATAATAAATGATATAAACACCACTATGTGGACAGCAAACATTTGTTAGATAATTAAAGCTGCATTTACCTGTCCCTGGGAAAAAGTAGTTTCCATATTTGTGAAAGGACACGGTCATGACTCGGTCTGTGAGGTAAAAGGCTTCCTGGACGCCATCGCCATGGTGAATGTCTATGTCAATGTAAAGAACCCTGGGGTGGTACCTTGAACAAGCACAGAGCAGGAGATTTATGTCACAAACAGACACGGTAAAGATTCGAGGAGAGTTACTCCGGAGCGCCGTCTTACTTGAGGAGCTCCAGTATACTGATGACGATGTCATTGACATAGCAAAACCCAGAGGCCTACAGCAACACAAGAACCAAAAAAGACATTTAACTCAAATGAGCTGAACAGAGAAGACACACATCAATACATGTGGCTTTGTTCTAACCTCAAACTTTTTGGCATGATGCAAACCTCCGGCCCAGTTTATAGCAATGTCACAAATCTGGAAAATAAAGCAGAGTCAGCATCAGTTAGAGCTCACACCTTTAACTGACCACGAAGCTGAAGACCATGACAGTTTTAAATCAAGAAATCAGAAATGTCTTTGATGAGTAACGATTTTAGTTTTTTAACACAAACTAAAATATTCTCACAAAACTCCTCAATGCTTCTCCTATCCTCCCTTTAAGTTCACTTTTTCTGATTAGCTGCCCTTTACAAACAGAAAGGGGGTGTTCAAATTCATGGGCTGCATCCTTCTGAGGACCCGGCCTTCACGGTCAACGTGAGGATACAGCCCATGAATTTGGTCACGACCAAAGACTGAACAGCAGGTCTACTGCTGCTGGGAGAGAGAGAGATACGTTCCCTCCAGCAAACACGAAGAGAGGCCTTTCTTCTTCTTTCTTACTTCAGCTAGAGAGCCTTGGTCACATAGAACAATCAATGACTCAACCTACTCCTCAAGGATATCACATAAATGAGTGTCTCTGACGACACTTTAAGTTGTAATTCAAAATGAAACCAACAGATGCCACCCTAGGCTACCTCAGTCTTGTTTTGTTTTTTCTCTGTAGCACCAAAACCATCAGCTGGGTTTATGTGTGCGTGGTACCTTGTGGTTGAGCTGAGTAGCCCCCTGTAAGGATGCTCCCGTGTATCTTGAGCAGAACTCAAACAGTCCTGGAAACACCGGACTAAAACACACAGACATGAAATATTTAAGTTATGGGTTTGTCAGCCATGATGATCAGAGAGGCTTTTATACTGAAACATTTACAATCCTGACAGATGAGATGTAAGAAAAGGAAGTTAGCTGCTTGAAAACTACAGTCCTTAGTTCCTATGGAAGCAGTAAAGGTGTACTTAGTTTTTCACAGGTCTTGTGAAAACTTCATTAAATCCTTCAGATTCTTTATCTCGATAAAAACGTATTTAACGAGAAAGAGACACTCACCAGTCATCTCCCACATTAAACGCGTTGAGACTTTTTGTGAAGCCCTGCATGTTATTGGGGCTGACCTTCTGTAGGAAGTCAATGTAGTCTTCAGAGTGGAAGCGACACATGTCATGCTGAGACGCTTTGTAGGGCTTAAACACCTGGTGGGAATAAGAACATTTGATAGAGTGTAGCATGAACTTGTTGTTTCTAATAAAAACCAAACAAACAAACACAAGATTTATCAAATGTTTTTTCAGTGTGAAAAGCATCAACAGGTGTGAACACGTGACAGTATCTGTCACTACTGCTAGCTCACCATCATTTTCTTGTAAAGTCCATAGTGCAACACCAGACTGTGAGTGAGAGACAACCGGTGAGGCTTCATCGGGTGGCCAGCACCTAACAGAAACACACAGTTCATGCATTACAGGGCTTATATCTGCATTCCACAGACATTAATCAGGTCAAAAAAAAAAGAATTAAGTGTACACATTATGGCTAATCACCTAAAAGAGAAACACGGTTGAAATTGGTACAATTTATGACGAAAGAGATTTGGAACACTGAAACAGCCATCCATGCGCTGTTACAAAAGCGAAAATACTTGAGGTAATTCGCAAAATAAAAATAAAAAAATAAGCACGGTAAGTATATCCTGTGAGCATGCGTATTGCAGCACTAAAGTTTGAATTTGTACAGTGTATCATTTCGTAAAAGCAGCATAAGCGTAGACAGACATATTACTTTATTTATCGTTACTGTTACACAACCGCCACGTTATCCATTCAGGACACCGTAGGAAGCACCGAGACATCCTAATAAAAGCTTTA